TGCAAATGGAGGATTCTTTGACGAAAGCAAAAGTTTGAAGGAAACTTGTTTCAAATAAATATCATTATTTCTAACCTTGTCAATGTCTTTACTATATTTTCTATTCATTTTCCAACTCATGTGGTAAATAAAAGTGTGACTTTTCATGGAAAACACTAAATTGTCTGGGTGACCCCAAACTTTTGAACGGTAGTGTATATCCGAGTCAACTTATGTAAAGGGGTATTGTTTTCTTAAATTTGTACAGACACAGCATTTCTTCCACCATTTTGACATTTTTGAGCAAGCGACGTCCTTCACCGATGCAATGGCCTTGTGGCACGGCACAGCGCCCATGGGTGGCGCGGCACGGCACAGCGCCCATGGGTGGCGCGGCACGGCACAGCGCCCATGGGTGGCGCGGCACGGCACAGCGCCCATGGGTGGCGCGGCACAGCGCCCATGGGTGGCACACTTCGGAATTTCACAGAATGCTGTGTCATCCAGATACCGTTTACTTATCCTCTCGTCTATACTGAGAATTCTAACATGCTATTCACGTCACATACTATATTTCACTTAATGCATAGCAAACGTATACAAAGTATGCAATTCTGGACACACCTTAAACAGGGCTGGCCAATATCTCAATAAAATACCATCAGTTTGAATATCGTGCGTATTGTGATATAGCCTAAATACTTGTCTTCTGGGACAATTAATTTAATTTCAATATACCATTGACAAGCTCCGTAAGCTTTAGAAAAACAATTCAGTCATGATTATCAGAAACACTTAAAACCACCTGGCATTTTACTGGTTTACTACATATGAATTTCAGAATATAGAGCTCGGTATTCGCCATACCGGACAACCATAACACACTGCAGAGGAACATGCCTGTAGCACAACACTGAAATTAACCAGGAAAGCAGTGAAAGCAGAAGACACCTTCATCTCATCTGCAAAACAGACAAGACCCTTTTGGTCAGAGGTGCAGGTCACAGATGTCAGGAATGTTCTAAACTTCAGAAAAGGGACTGACAGGACAGTCGGACGAGCCCGGGGTGTCAAGACGCATCGCAAATAAAAATATATTTATTTTAGTCAGTATTTCATGCTGACCAAAATAAAAACTACTGATGTCATCAGTATTCAAAAGGCAACATTATTTGTGAATCTCAATGTGAAGAAAGTAAAATAGTTTCTTTGATCTGAGCAGAATAACTATTTTTCTTTTAAAGTAATTGTGGAGGGGGGGGCAGGTGTGGTGATAATTAAGCCTATAGCAATTTAAGGTAAATAAAGATTTGAAGCAGGGACGAGGGTAGTCTTCAAAACTGGTCCAAGGACAGGGAGAGAATACTCACCCGCACACAAAATCACACACGAAAACAGCACAAGAAGTGTGTCAAACAATTAAGAGTAAGAAAGCCTCGTATAACAAACGAAACGGGCAAACAGAAGCAAGCGAACCAGATTAATGGAAAAATGTTTGCGGAAAGGAGACCACAAACCAACCACAGCAATGAATAATACATTAAATATGAAAACTGATCTGTAATTATTCAGGCCCAAGAGAACAATCCAGAAAAGAAGAATGAAGCAGAATGCCTCCATCTTGCAGTCCCCCTCCACCATATTGCACTGCTCTTTCCCATGTGCTGATTAATCAATGTCACAGTAATCAACATTTCAAGTTCAAGATTTTTTTTCCCCCCCTTCTTAAATCGTGCAGGAACTGGTTTAAAATAATTTTCTATCACATTTCATTTCCGTTTTTATTATCTTACTTTTTTTCCCTCAGCATTTCCTTACATTTCCTAAAACTAGCCCGGAGTTGGTATTAAAAGCCATTTATTAAAGGCCACAATGGCCATAACGGGGATCTTTAGACAGTTTATTTTTTAATTGGGTGGGGGTGGCCGGTGGGGACATTCCAAGCTAGATATTGGCAATAGTGAGGAGTATTTCAGTTTAGCAAACATTAATATATATATATATTTTTAACCACTTGTAATTTTTAGATTTAAGGATGCCAGACACCAACGCTAAAGTCCTCAAATAGAACGTGCCCAAAATTCCCAGCAGGATTCATCTGGCACATTTTGTTTTTTTTCCCCCGGACAAAGCTGCCCCCTTCCAGCCGTGGGGCAGTGGGTGCGAGTGTGGATAGCAGACTTCCTGCGACAGGTCAGTTCACGCTCACTGTGGCCATGCAGGGTCACCTGCAAACATACACGGCTCAAGTGTACTGGCTGCGTGTAAAAGAGTTTGGGGTTTCCGAGAGGACGACGTGCCATCCCATTCAAAACACAGGCCAAGGTGGGACAGGGAAATCACTGCAACCCCCAAATCCATAAGGGTTTTTCTTAATATTTGTTGAATTTTTACTGGACCTTTAAGATGGAACCGAAATAACACCAGACCCACAAATTCACAAAAACCTATAGTAGAAAAATAAACAAACAAAATCAAGAATTAGTACTATGTTTGCTATAGGACTACAAAAGCTAGCATCCAATGGTATGACAATCCATCACAAATACTTATGAATGAATTACACCCCTAATAATAAAACAGTTTCATAATGTCTTAAAAAAATAAAGCCTAAATAAAAGATGTGGGATTAGTATGAACCCTACAAGCATCCCTCTAGATCTGAGACGGTTGGAACAGAATCCAAGGTTTCATTTCAATCCGGGGATGACAGCCAAGAGGGCTGGAATCGCTCCCAAGGTGATATTTCCCAGCCCAGCACGGCCTGAGAGGCAAGCAGATCACACAAGCAAACGCCACACGGCACTTATACACCCAGGACGCAATACAGGAGTGCGCACACATGCACACACATAGTCAAACAGAAAGTGCTATTCTGAATTCAACGCCCAAATTAATTTCAGCCTTCTGGTAAACGTGTCATCGCCATTCGGGGAATCTTGCTGGCTTAACGGGTCTATTCTACATTAAAGAAACCACAATGGGAATTCCAATTAACTCAAATGGAGAGAAGGAAAAAAAAAATGAAATGCAAAAACCCACATACATTAAAATGAATGCCGAATAATTTCTTATTTGGACCAAACCATAAGCATTGTTCACTAAATTAACCAAAATGCTTCACTCTTTCCTTGGCACACTACAATTACCTCATATCCTTAATATTAAAATTTCTCAAACCCAAGAACGAACACACACAATCATTAATCAACTTTTAATACTGCAAAAACAAAATATTTAACCCTGCGGAAAAGACAGCTAGGTTAGAGTGTGTGCTTGTTTTTCCAGGTAAATTCCCC